CAAAATGAATAAGTACCAACAAGTGGGACTCACAAAACAAAGGAAACAAATGAAAACAAATATTTACAGATTAGGACAGTCCATGACTCCTCTTGTTGGACAATAGATAATAGTATACTCATTTAAATGAAGAGAACAACATTTTGACAAAGAACTCAACTGGTAAGAACTTCATGGACATTCTAGGACCATTTTTGAGCTCACAACATGAATGACAAATGCCACCACATTTCATGCCATTTACAATTACAACATCTATGTAATTGTTAAGACTTGTATATGATTGAATGGTGAAAGATCAACATCTAGAAATAATATACCTTTTTATTAGTAACAAGCAAAGAAACACATGTCAAAAGAAAATGACCAACAAATCTTAATAAAGTTTCAAGAGGTTTAGAACAAAACGTTAGCAAGTTTGATAGTGTATCAAGTGATTTTTTTGTTTTTTTTTTGTGGGGGGCAAGCAACACAATTGTAACACCCCCGATTAGTCCCACATCGGAAGTAAGTAAGACTAAAATTGACTTATAAGGGTCTAATGAGTGTATTACTATCAACTCTAATTTAAGCATCTTGGCTAGTGATTTGGGTCAAATACAGTTGATAGGCCAATTAGCCATCAAGGCCGAGTCGTGATACAATTATAACACCCCCGATTAATCCCACATCGGAAGTGAATAAGACTAAGATTGGCTTATAGGGGTCTGATAAGTGTACTACTATCAACTCTAGTTTAAGCATCTTGGTTAGTTAGCTAGCACCAAAGTGCTATCAAAAAACAAAAAAGAATGGACGTCATTTTAGTTAGTCTATGATTGGCTTTATGATAACAGAACATATCACCTGGAATGTGGAACATTCAGGTCATGGGACAAACATGGGTACTGGTTATGTCATGTAGCATGGTTCATGGTACATGGGATAAGAATTTTCTGGTTCATTATTTTGGGTCATGGTACATATTGTACCACTTAGGTTGCTTGCTATATCAGATAGGATATCATCTAACTAAAAAATCAATATGAATCTAATTAGATTCATAACAGTATTAGAAGACTTGAAAGCCATCCAACTAAAAACCCAATTTGAATCCAATTAAATCGAGAACAATGATAGAAAACTTGAGGAACTAAGCTTTTTAACCTGATGTCAAGATATAATACAGGAATACAGGCAATTCTAACTATCTGACCAGAATTCTATTGTATGCTAGACTAATAGCTTGATCAAGATTTAAAAAATGGTGCACACACCTTGGAAAGAAAATGAGTTATAATTAGATCTGCCATTCTTGGCCAAGTCAATCTTCCAAAACATTGCATCCATATAGCATTCTCGAAGCAAATGAATTTGTATATGAACTTTACTATTTGACTAAGCCTTGAGTAAAGACAAGTTCCATCGAGATCTTCCTACAAAATAAAAAAATGAAAAATGTTAACAGAAAACAAGTTATTTACAGCAAAAGAAAAACATTTCGAATTACCTGAAATCAATCCTTCAAGGATAAGTAAGAAATTAAAAAAACTTATTATTGCTAGTCCATTGTGCAGAGAAATTAAATCAAAGGAATAAATCTAAGGGATTAATCAAAAGGGAACGAATTTAATAATCTATTGTCCAATAAGGTTGGGAAGCAAATTAAAATTTTGATAACATTTACACTTCTTAACACTGGAAGAAAACATGGCCAGATAATCGGTAAATACAACTTCACTAGCAACCAAATAATATCAGGTTCTCAAAATGAAGTGCAAAACAAGTCACATAAGCAAAAATCAAGTTAAAGCCCAAATTTTATTTTCTTCTCCTATTAAAGGGTAGGAATCATGGTCAGATATGTCTTTTCTTTCTAAGACATCTATAGTTACCACATCGATGCATAGGGATGCAAATGCTAGACCTTCGACCCAAATAGCATATGGTTAACTCATAAGTTGCTAGTTGACTTTATTTAACATATGGGTGACCATCTAAAATAAAATTTAAAAAAGAACTCCAGTAGCATTCTATCAAGAAGTCTCATGATTCTATGAAATCCAAGATCAAGATAAAAATTACTGTCTGATTTCCTTATCATTTATGGTGCAGATTTTGGTATCGAAAACACTTGTGTTTACCCAAGAAACTGTTTGGTTTAGTTAGCATGCCTTCATGCAGTAGCACAAAGCAGCAATAGCTCAAGGATTCAGTGCAAAATTACCTGCAATTCAGATGATGGAACCATGCCAAGAATTGTTTCACAACTTGCAAGAGAGCCCTCATCATGCACTTCAACTAAAACATTGATGGATTTGTTTGTTATGGAAGTAATAATGACCCGTTTGATCAACAAATCTGCCACTCTTGCCAGCCCATAATCAAGAACACCAACAATCTGCATTCAGGGTAAAATTTTCATTAGAAAGAGGGAACATATTAAAAAACTGGAGGTCAATTACAAGTTTGGAATAGGAAACACAAGGCTCACAGAACCTTCAAAAATCTATATATATACTAACATCCACTACTTATGGCTGGACACATCTATCATAAGCATCTTTTGGTAAAAAAAAGATGTTAACTAAACAAGTTCACTACAAGTTCTATGGCATTAAAGTGTTAACTGAAACAACAATAAAACATAAAAGGGGAGAAACCAATAAGCTTCATGCCTAACTAGTTAATCACTCATAATTGTTGGTTATAGTTCTTATAAACTGTAAGGTTTTGAAGCCAAGATAAGCACGGTCCCGAACATGTTATCTTTCTTAGCATAAAACGTACTCGTAATGCTAAAAAGTAAAAATAAGCATCAGATCACCTCCATTGCCTCCAACATCTGGTGGAGCTTGATATAGTGAACATCTTCGACTTTAGATACAGATCTCACAATCAGTCTATTGTTCTCCGGTTCAAAATGGAAACAGTTCAGTACATTTTTGGCAAGCACCTCTTGAAGCTATCAAGAAGAAGAAGAAGAAGAAGAAGAAATAGTAAAGTTCAGTTATTCCGTGAAAAAGATATGGATTTTGCACCAAGAACTGAAATCGCAACTACCTCATCGAGGCACTCAGCCCACTCCTTCCTCAAGAACCCAAACACTGCCGGCTCGTTCTCTACGCTGCCCCCCTCCTCCACGTCCGCGACGGATAGCCCTTTCTTGAGATCCCTGACGGCTTCAGCAGCCGCGACCAATCTCATGGCCCTGAGGTCCTCCCTGGCCGAAGCGAGACGGCGGTGCAGGGCGGAGACGGCCCGCACCACCTCCAGCGCCTCCCGGCGCTCCTCGAGCTCCCGTCTCTTCGCCCTAATTTCGGAGACGAGGTCCTGGATCTCGAGGTCGAGAGGGCGGTCGGAGAGGAGGCGGAGGGCGCCGGACAGGGAGCGGGTCAGGTCGTCAGCGGAGGCGGCGGCGAGGGAGCAGCGGGAAAAGAGGTCGGCGAATTCGGCGCGGTGGGCGAGGACGTAGGACCGCACCTTGTCCTTGATGCGCAGGGAGCGGATCTGGAGGCGGTCGACCAGGAGGCGGAGGTCGGGGGCGGAAAGAGGGGAGGACTCGTCGAGCTCGCCGCTCGGGAGGAGGTCGCGAACGTCGATGGAGCCCGAGAGGACGTCCATGGCGTCGACGGTCGTTTACCCGAAGACCTCTCGGGGAAGGAAGCGAAGAAGAGGTCGGAGTCGGACGGAGGCGGCGTCGGTTTTACTTTTACTAGAGCGGCCACGAGTCGGATCCATCGGGTACTTACAACAATCCGACCCGTTAAAATATTTACCCCGTTTCGATGTGGTCTCGATTAATCCCCTTCATGACGTTGACTTCCAGTCAAACCATGAAAATTCTTTGCATTCTTCCTTAATAATAAAGACAAAAAAAAATCTAGTGTTATAAATGCTTTAATCTTCTGAACCTCAATTAAATGAATCTCCTAAATATAAAGGATTATTACTAAAATTGAAGGGGGTATTTGATGCTATCTGAGTGTTTTTTGTTCTCTCTCTTCTCAATCAGATAACATTTTTCTAACTATGTTTGAGAGTAGGTATGTAGTGTGCCACCTCCCTTTATCATTTTTCTTTGTCCTCTATTAAAATAGAGAAGAAAAAAATGACTTGTATTGGATTTTTTTTGACAAGAAACTGCTCACTGCAGAAACAGTAAGTCCAATTTTATGATCATTTATTCTGACAAACCAGCTTCACAAAGCAGAAAATGGGAACATGAAATGGTTCTCACCCCTCAACAACAGGCTTGATATTTCCTTGTAAGTGGAAGACTACCATTTAACTTGCAACATTGCCTGCAACACATCAGAGAAGACCATACCCCTCTCTCATCATCAACTACAATACAGATATTGTATAGCCAAAACACAATAGGACAGGCAAAACTAGTGAGATAGGAAACAGAGATGCCTAATCTCCATTGCATGGAGATGTATGTGCTGAAAGATTCACATCTTCATTTGCTTTGAGGATTCTACTGTGCACTGTTTGTTTCAGACTTCATGAGAAGATCAGTAAACTTTGATGCCTTCAAAGATGGATTTTCAGCTGATGACCACATAACTTGTAAAATCGTTTGGTTGCAAAAAAACAGTGAAGGTTTCTCATGAGAAAATGAAAGCAGAATATAACTATAATGTCTTGAGAATGGATGATCAGATTTGCAGGCTGTACCATCAGAATACATTTGGCTTCCATAGGCAGCATAGAAGGAGCACACATAGACAGACCCTCTGATAATAATCAACAGAGACAAGAAATGAAGAGTGCAGTTAGAAACTTCCAAAGGCAGAAGAACTGGAAGAATAGTATAGAGATAAAGAGAGAGAATCAACATTACTGGTCCTAGAGGAAGCTGCAAGAGTCCTACTGTGGCTGCTTGGTTCCTCTCATTTGGGTGAAGATTCTTAAAAGAGGCTCCACATATTTTCAGATCCCAGTTTTAATGTAATATTGACAATCTGGTTGATCAGGCCTCTCAAATAAACTTAGCAGCATGCCGCAACCTGGCTGTGTTTTATGCCTGGAGTTGATTGGGTGGAAGCATATCGGCATAAGAAATATGGTTCATGTTGCCCTGGCATGCATTAAAAGCTTGCTTCAGGTGTCAGCATAATGTTTCACAAACTACAGAATATGACACAAGATGAATAAACTGAGTGACGAACATAGGCAATTTAGCTTTCAGAACAAAACTACAACATGAGTACGATAGACGATCATAGCTTTCACAAACTACAGAATATGGCATGATGAATAAACAAGTGACGAACATAGGCAGTTCAGCTTTCAGAACAAAACTACAACATGAGGATGATAGAGAATCAAAGCTTTCACAAACTACAGAATATGACACGATGAATAAACGAGTGACGAACATGGGCAATTTAGCTTTCAGAACAAAACTACAAAATGAGTACGATAGAGAATCATAGCAAGGCAGAAAAGAAAACACATTAAACCATGTATTGGCCAATCATGGTTATTGGCTAATTAACTAAAGTCCATTGACACTAATGAGCCATGAAGATTTTAAAAGCTTCAGAATCCTAAATGAAACTAAAGAAGTGTATCAGGTTTACGAAAAATATGAAACCAAAACTATACATTTAGTACCAATATGAGAGCATGGCCACTCTAACAACATGAATATATTGAGAAGCCATTATCATCATCAAGGAACCAAGGAAAATAGATATAATAAAAGTATATTGCAGTTAGTAAACATGTAAATCAGATTCTTAATTTAAATTGGAAACTGGATTCTAAACTGTAAACTAGCAATGACTATTGTAAAATATTAAATTGTACTTATGTTAACATGTATAGAAGAATCATTTTAAGGTTTTTTTTTTATTTTTGCTGCAAATGGTATGTGGAGAGACTGTGATTTGATCCCTGGGCCTTAACTACCAAACCAATTACACTAGCTTAACTGGCATCCTCGAATAGTTAAATATAAGATGGAATAGTTAAGAGGGAGTAAATGAGATAGTTAACGATGCTTCCAAATAGAAGATCAAACTGACAATATCATCGCATTTGTTTATAGAGTGATTAACTTAATTAACAGATAAACTTGACCTCATACAAAATCATATGCCACTCTGTCCCCTAATAATGGAGCAACAGTTGCATGAAGATGCAAATAACTTGAGACTTGCAAATGCAAGGAAAGGATGCTCGCAAAATAATATTAACACCTGCAAATTGAATTCTGTAAACAAACATTTAATTTCTGACACATTAGTGCTTCACAAATATCAGTTAAGAGATGATATTTATATAAAACAGGCAAATGTATCACAAAGATCACAGTAGAAGAAAAGGCATCTTGTAACATACCAAACAACTAAGGATGTTATGGTTTATAAAAGACAAAGGAATATCTATCATTTAGCTCACCCACACTTTGTAAAGCACAGATCTACTAACCATGTAAGTACTCCAATTCTGTTGCATGTGCATGGTTATATGGGTGAGACGAATAACAAGGGCACTAGTTAGTTGATTCCCAGATAGGGGTATAATGAAACTAGAAAATCCATGGGCTGATGATCTTGTAGGAGAAAATATTATTCCAGGGGTGGCAGGCTGCGGATGATTGAACTTGTACGCAACTCCAGATCTTCTTGTTCCAGTTCTCACGTAGTAGCACATGATTTTTCATTCTGGAATCCACATTAAGTTAACATTGCATAGTAATTTCATAATTTGCTACAGGATAGAAGAAAAATATTATAACATCCATAAGTGAAGGTGGTGGATACTAGAAAGAATACAGAAGTTTCATTTGCAAGTGGAGGCCAACAAGCAGTAGAAATCTTTCAAACAGGTAGACTCAAAACATTCAACTGAACTAGTCATATGTCATGTTTGTCATGTGGATGATGATATTTACATGTTTCTCCAAGACTAGCAAAATCCTGTTTTCAGGAAGAACTGCAAGAACACTTGAACCATAAACCGTATACATGTCCTTCAAGCATATGGTATCTGACACATTAAAGAAACCAAGCATTTAAAACAAATCAAACTGATTCAGAAGAATAGAGGGGTAGTAACTCTGAAGCTCAAACCAATTGACATCAGATATGCTGAATTCTTTGTTTATCTAATAATGGAAAAGAAAAGCTGCTGCAGTAAGAGAGATTTATTTTCAGAAGCAATGGAGTAAAAATCTCATCTCCATAGGATCTTTAAATCGGATGCACCTAGCTTCATGCATGGATACTATTAAGAATTCGTCAAATTTAACTACCTAATAACTGTGTCTATCATTTAACAAGGGCATGACAAGGGGTAAGCAAACCATTATCTTTCAATAGCCAAAACTCCAGTAATGAGTTGATAAATGATAACCATGGTGATAAGTGACATCCTTGTAGATTGTATTTATAAACAGTATCCGTTTTAGGTTACCAAATATTTTACAATTGTCAAAACATGTTCCTTTGTTAATTTTCAGATAAAACTATATACTATTTCAAACTTTATTCAGAAATAACCTATTCAGTAGTCACAAATACAAGAAAGCACCAATTTGTCAATCTTTTAAATCCTCATCTTAAATTTTGGAGAAGATTTTGTGAAACTCAACATCAGTCTTCCACTCCATTCCTTTATCTAGCTTTAGACTACTTGCAATCTTGTAAATGCCTCTATTTTTTAAATTTGCTTTCTTCAACTTACTTTTTTTTTTATTTAAGAATCCTGAATTTTGCAGTTGTTCCTTGCAACAATCTTGCGTAATTAATTTAGCTTACTACAACACCTACTGACACGAACTCATTGGTAATATTCATAGCTTGTCTTTATCAGATAGGATTCCTCTAGGTCACACAAAAGCATGCTTGGCAACATAGAAGACAAATATGTCAATAATTTATCTTCTTTGTAACATCCACAACTCAGTTCAAAAAGCTGGTCGGACCAGTAATACCGATTGGTATTCACCAGTCCAACTAGGAACCAGCACCTGGACCAAGATATTTGCTTGGTCCTGTTCAAATTTTTTTTATCTCCAATCTGCTGTTGATGGCCTCCCCACTCCTCAGCCTCCTCTCTTCGCCTTCTCCTCCTCCTCCTCCTTCTAGCTGTGTACCATTTATCAGTACACTGGTTCATATTAGAAGAACACTAGTCTGCCCAGGGACCAGTACAGGTCCAATATCGAGATTTTGAATTATGCAACTGTGCCTCTTTGCGACCTACACAAGTTAATTTGACTATAAATTTGATGGTTTTATAAAGCAAAACTCAAGTGTATATACCTTGACCAACAGCTTCTCAAGTATCAATACCTTTTTCCAGTTACCAAAAGGAATTTAATGTCATAGAAATGCGTAAAGAAATAAATGATGAATAGTACTTGCAACCTCAAGAAACAATAAAGCTACTTTTCAAACTAAGATTTCACCAAATGATAAATAATCTTCAAAAGTTAGCAAAACAAACTCATTTGATGTCAGAAGTAATAAATTCATAGAGAAAAATAAATTTAGATGTAACATAAAGGACAACATTGCAAACATCAATATTTTTTTTTCTCCAAACCAAAAGACTAACCAATATGTGATAAAAAAGCATAATGAAGATTCATGAAGGACGATCATACAACTAGACCAGCAGTGTAGTAATAATTAGATCAGTTTAACCTGCATCATGAAGTTACAGAATTAGCAAAATTCAA